TTTTTTTTTTTTTTTTTTTGTATTGTTTCTCATGTCTCTTAAAATAATTTACACTTCACTGAAGAAAAGATGTATGAAAACATTCAGGTCACTGATGGCAGCTATGTGTTCTCCACGACATTTTAGCATACTGTCGCGACAACTGAGCACAGGAAAATGCTGCAAACGTGGCTTTTCATTTTCACAGATGCATGCAGGACAACCTCTAAAATACTCCTTGGTCACACACAGGCTCTGAGAACATTCTCTGTGGGATGGTATTGTCACAGTCTAACCCTGCATCCCTGGGTTTCTCCTAATCGTTTAAAGGTATGGGCACCTAAGTTCTTCAACTTAAAAGAAAAAAAAAAAAAGTCAGGAAAACAGAAAGCAACCATGAAGAGAGGAGGGGAGAAACCCCGGAGAGGGAATAGGGAAGAAAAATAAATAACACTAAGATTTTGTTGTTGTTTGTTTGTTTGTTTTGAGACAGGCTTTCTCTGTGTAGTCTTGGCTGTCCTGGACTAGCTCTGTAGACCAGGCCAGCCTCGAACTCACAGTGATCAACCCACCTGCCTCTGCCTCTGCCTCTGCCTCTGCCTCCCCAAGTGCTGGGATTACAGGAATATGCCATCGCACCCAGCCTAAGAATATTATTTAAGGCTACAGAAAACATTTTGAAAGCTTACTCAAAATTACATAGATGACATATATGTATATTTACATATATATTTTTATAGAGTTATGCCACGCGGGGTGATAATGCACTCCCCAAGAGATACAATTTACCAAGATCCCAGTGTCAGGCACAGGAAACCCCCTTTGCGGTTTTTTGATTGGGGGAGGGGGAGGCCAAGCCCTCGGTTGCCTCACAGAACTGGAAGGCAGGATCATATTGCTGAAAATGCCATGCTTTAAACCCAAGACCTCGTGGAATCAAAATAGAACTGACCTGGAAGCTCCTTCCGTGTGGCGGGGCTCTCACAGTATCTGAAGGTGCTATGCGGGCTGCCCAGGGAGAAAAGCAACAACAGGGGCCCAGCACATCCAGACAGCCCCCAAGTGCAAGCTGTGGAGGTCTTATCTCAGGGTAACCAACATCTGTCTAATAGGATGGCTTAAGGCTCACTCAAAAGGAAGGGGTTCAACCTTGGGACATTCGGTATAGACCTAGCCAAGTACCCATGGCCAAAGAGACCACAGACCCTAGAACAGGACAACCCACTGCAATCTTCTAACTGCACCTAGATACTCATCTTGATATATTGATACCCACAGCCCACAGCTCTCAGCCCCTCATCAAAGAAGCTTTTTTTTTTTTTCTTTTTCAAGAGATGGAGTCTACGACAGAGATCCACAAGCACTCAAAATGCAGAGCAACTGGCTATGGGGTACTCAGCCCTGACTGATAGGTCAGGGCTACTGCTATAGAGAAAACCATGGGAAAGGGGGCAGAAAATTGGTAACAGCCAGAGGACTAGGAGTCATGCTACGACAGAGCGTCCTCTAGACATACCAGGTGAAGCGGCGCCCATGGAATCTCAGAAATACGCTGTCCAGCCAAGTCACTTAGCTGCGTTGAGCAAGAACTAGTAGGCCTGAATGGCTCCTTAAATGAATCCCGAGGGCTGAACTGCTCTCTGAGCCTCTGCGGCACACCTTTGCTTACCTGAGAGGAGCACCCACTCCGTCCTCTGATGGGATATTTCCAGGTCGTGGGTCCACTGTTTTCAATTCTGCTCAGGCCAGTTTCCCAACAGAGCCAGGGGCTACCTTAGACCTGGCCCAGAGAACAGTAGACCAAAGGTCCCCCTCAGTTAGAGCCACTTCTTGTAGTAAATGGGACTTGCCAGGTGAGTTGGTACAGGCCTAGGGATTGTGGGACGACTGACCTATGCCATATTTGGAAGAGAGACACTTAAAGAGGCCTCCCTCCCTGGGATAAAACATAGACTCGGCCTATTGTTTTAGGAGGAGGAAAAAGGATGTAATGTTGTAATAAAAGGGAAAAACAAACCCAGGAACTGGTTAGAGGAACCGGGAAGGAGTAAGGAATGGATTTCCCAGGGATGTGTCTCCATCACCACTCAGCCTACCAAGATCTAAAATGCGTCTTAAACCAAACGGAGTCTAAGCTGTCCCTGGGCCCATGGCCTAAACTCCTGAATGTGGCAGCAAAGCCTAAGCATGTATTTGTCACATACGGTGCCCACCCTCCTAACTGCAACATGGCACACTGGAGCCTAACTGCCTATATTACCTGACTAAAATAATTTTGTTTCCAGTCACCAAACACAGAATTAGGTACAATTGTCCAGAATATTCACGCCTGGGGTAGTTTTACAAAACAGAACCCAACGGGATTATATTTCCCTCCTAGACTATGAGAGAGTGACCTTTGGCTCTGTCCCAATGAGAATAGGACCCTTGACTTCATCCAGACTTGGACTCTGATGTCTACTCCCAGTCAGCACAGTTGGTACATGGGAAGTTACTGTTAGGAGGGGAAACAGCATTTACCCTTATAGATCCTTCAAGTAGGATTTCTAAGCATTGTCCCTGTCTTCCAGAGCTCTCTATACAGCCAAGCCTGGTCCAGTTTACCTTTCTGAATAAGACATATTGAGGAAGTGTTCTCTCTGTGAACTTGTGTCCAGTGTTCCCCAGGAGGTGGTGGTAGACACGGTGACCTCCGAACTTGGATGGCAAATGAGCATCTTTTAGAGCCCTTGAGTGCACACGTTTGCTCTCTGAGAGGGGTGAGGAGAGGAGGATGAGGACGACTTTGGCCAAACTAGAAAACAATGGTGATTGGGCCCTTTAAGAAAGGCTCCTTCTTGCTCCTGTACTCCACCCCCATTGCACATTCCAAACTAACTAGCAGGGAGGGGAAGAGGAATCCTGTCTGGGCTGGGAAGGAGCAGGGAGGGGAAAAGGAAGTTCCTGAGGATGGAGGGCTTCCAGGAGGCGAAAATGTTCCACACAGATAAAACTATAAAATGAAAGATGCTCATGAGAATGGAAGTGGTGATGATGAGCACTGGCTCTTTTGAAGACTTGCTCTACACACTACCCCATCCCCAAGCACACTGCAGAGTGACCCTCCAGTGGGTAAACGAACTAATCATGAGACCAGAGGCCAAGGCCCTTTCCAGTCTGGATAGCAGCCCAGGGAGTGATGCTGTGTCCATTGATGGTGGATCTTCCCACTTCTCCATCTTTTCCAGTTAGGGCAGCCTGCAGCTTTAGCTACTTACAGGTGAGGAGGTGCCGAGGACCTGCTCAAGCTTCAAGGTTCAGGTGCAGAGACGGGAAGGGAACGGGCACAGGATTGACCACCTATTGATGGCCAGGCAGGCGGCCCCAAACAGCTCTAGCCGGCTTCATTTATACAATCACAAGCATGCTTACCTGATCAGGGACATCACTAGTTATTTAAAGACACCATAACATCCGCACTACACACAAGCCCCCTCATCCCAAAAGGTCCCCAATGGTTTTCCTTACATGACGGGTTCATCCCCCCGCCCCCAACCATATTTTGCATCACAAAACACAATGTCAGCAAGCCAAAGATAAATGTCTAGCTAGACATGTCCTGTGGATATGAGCCCATACCCAGCTGGTAGCAAACATGGTTACACGGTTGTGCAAGGTGAAAGATTAACTATTTTGTGGGTATACGTCCATTCATCAAACAGCACCTCTTTGTCACAATAGTCTCTTAATTGCAGACAGAGATGAGCTCATTGTACCAAGCAACCTTTCCCAATATGCACCCATCAGTTTCTGATAACCATTTTTCAAAGAAGCATTTTTCAGTCTCTCTTGGCGAGACAGAGCTTCCTCGGAACAGTCATGCAAGCAGGGCCCGTTGCTCTCCAGAGGCTTACTCGGTGTGGCTGTGGCTGTTTCTCTAGGAATACGATGACACGTCACAAAATCCCCAGGATTAATGGTCCCACCTGGAGGACCGCTAGAGGCAGAGAGAGGAGAGGAGGGCTTTGTTCAGAGTATTCATCCACAGGGCTTTCAGTCTGGGTGGCCCAGCCTTGCCCTTGCCCAACAAAACTAAATATTGCTGAGTATAAACAGCATAGGGAAAGCAAGGAGAGCTTGTAGCACGCGTGATGTAGGTAATAAGCCTGGAGGCTCCCAAAAACTCACCACAGGTCCTTTCCAAGAGGGAAAGGGGTTCCCATGGGCCTTACCACAGTGGAGTCCCATCAGTGAAGTGCTCACATGACGTTCCCGGCCACCGCCAAGGAGGATTCTGGGTACCCACCATTCTCGTCATTGTCTTTAGGTTCCTGGCAACTGGATGATCTGGCAAGAAAGTTTCTAAAACTCGCCTTCCTGTGTGGATACCTGAAGCTGCAAGTTTGGGCGCTGATGAGAATTGGGGTGCCTGTATATTAGTTACTCTTCTCGTTGTCACAAACTATGCGACAAAAGTGATTTAAGAAAGGGGGAGGGGCTGCTTTGGCTCGCAGTGTGAGGGCCACAGTCCATCACAGCAGAGAAGGTACGGTAGTGTGCCTATAGTCAGGAAACAGAAGAGCGAGCCCTCACACTCACCTTGCTCCTTCCT